CTAAGGTGTCTGCTTGACAACCTCAGAAAGATCTATTGAAAGTGATAGATCTAAAAAACCCACAGAGAAGGCAGAGCATGAGCTGCGGCTGTGGCCAGCACACGCAGGTAGGTGGGGCAGCATGGAGTGTACAGAACGGGGAGAGAGGCTCAAGATCTAATTCTGGCACAAAGTCAGGGATCTGGCTCAAGCCTCAGGACAGACGTTCACTACCACTACCATGATCCAGAGGCTATCAAGATGATAATATCAGTTCTTTTTTCAGGGAATTATTAGCTATGCAATACTGACCCAATCTATTTATCAGTTTGAGCTTCGGCTTTCTTACCTATAAAATATGCATAACCATACTCACATAATAAGGTAATCTGAGACCTAAATAAAGCAAGCTAAGCCAGAGTGTGGCACATAATAAGCTCTCAAAGTTAATATGTTATTTGAATCTGAAACCAGAAAGCTCAGAGGAAATTGAACTCGTCATCACTCCGGCCCCAAAATTGTTTCTTCTCCTGTGGTCTCTGTCTTTACCAGGAGACCAACCCAAAAACCTGTCCTGCCATGTCTAACCTTAGCCCTATCCTGTGTTCCTGTCCAATCAGCTCGCTTCCTGTATGCCACAGTTGTTGCCTCCACTAAGACCATTGGGATCTCTTGCCTGGATCACTGCAAACCTCCTTCCTGACCTCCCATTTCTCCCAGTGTGCTCTCCACACTGAAGCCAGTGTGAGCTTCCCAAAGGCAAATCTAATGTCATTTACTTGCTAAAACCCTTTTCCCTTTGAAAAAAGTCACTCGTAGCATACAAAATCATTCATGATCCTAAGAACTATTATTTTTACTTAACCTCCCAACCTCAAATCGTGCCATCCCTCTCTTTGAAGTCTCTCTTCTAGCTGCACAAATCTACTTTCATTCCCTGAGCAGGTCCCATAGTCTACCTTCAACCTATCCAGTTGACCCTGCTACCTTCTACACTTCTGTAAGATCCAGTTCACCTCCTCTGAGAACCACGGCTAGGTTAGGCAGTTCTTCACATACTCCCATAACTCCCTGTTCTACTTGGCACTTACTGTATTCAAACTCCCCAGTCTTCTTCACTAGATTATATGTTTCCTAAAGACAGATGTTTCTTACCCATTTGTTACCTCTTATACATAGCATGCTCAATAGTACATGTTAAATGGTTAATATATATCTCTTTGGATGAATAAATTAAAAAATCCTTTAGGAAGTTGTCTTTTAACCTTTTTGTGGATCACATCGCTTAAATCTCTTCCTTTGGCTCCCTTGAAGCCAGGACTTTTAAGGGTACAATCTTGGGCAAGTTAAACCTCTCTCTATTTACATTCCTTTTCTGTAAGGTAGGGAAAGTGATGGTACCTACCTCACAGGTTTTTATGAGGACTGAAAGAGTTGATACATGTAAATCATTTAGAACTGGTACCTGGAAGTATCCGAAAGCTCTCATTAACAGTTAGCTGTTATTGTCAGGGTTGTTATTGATGTTACTATTATCCTACAAGGACCCTTTATGTATGACAATTGACATGATACTGGGCTCCACAAATTTTACAAAGTCACAAGTTAAAAAATTAAGGAAATGTAAAAGTCAGAGTTCAACCAGAAGAAAAGGCCACTGTTCCCACAGAAAAGCATCCTGGGGCCAGCAACATTGCTGAACTCATTATGGGTAAAGGTTCCAGACAACGATCCACACTCTTCTTTTACAGACAATTATGAGAGCAATTTGTCAAAAGAGATTATGAACAACCCAGTTGGCACTAAGCAGTCTGCACTGGACATTAATTATTTACCACAGTTGTCTAGGAAAGTCAGCAAAGGACCATGAAGACACTGGGAAATAGTAACCCCTCTAGACAGGAGGAAGAACCCACCAGTCTCACAGAAAGCTGAGTTTGAGTCCAGTCCTTCTCTCCTGGGGAATAGCAAACCCTGGTCTCACTGGCTTATTGTCCAAGCAAACCAAAGTGAGATCATGAGATCACTTGGAGAATGCTGCTCGAAGCGCCAATCTTTGATTAACACTTCCTTCCTTCGGAGGGGATTCCAAATGCTGCCATGCTTATACTTTGAATGCTTCTTGGGTAGTTTAAAACTTCAGGTTTTCTAAGAATTTGCTGCTCTATCAAAATAAATTCAAAATTTCTTCTAATAGCTTTGATTTTGTTCCATAACATTTATTAATGTGTTAGGCACCATACTAAATGATAAGAATGTAAAATCTACAGGCATAATTCCTGCTTTCAAGTATGTATAGCCCTAGTGGAAAAGCAGATGAATAGTTACAATGCAATGTAATAGATGCAATAATAGAAATGTGTACAAGACTCAGAAGCATTCAGAAATCACTCTGTTCAGGCTAAGATAACATTTTGCAAACTATGAAGTAAATACATGTTTGATTTACACAGAATATAAAGTTGAGATCCAAAGAAAAACAATGAAATCAAATGCTATGACAAAAGGTAACATGGAAATCACTCCTAAAATCCTGTTAATTGATATAACATTGGAAAGGAAGATTTATCGTGAGAACTAAAAAGCATTTCTGGGGAGTGGTCAGAGAAAAAAGTTTGGAAGCTAATGGAACTCAATTTAAATGATAGCTCTGCCACCTATGCTGTGTGAATTTGGGCAATTTTCCTAATCTCTCTAGGTCTAAATTTTTTCACTTAAGAATAAGACAATAAAGGGCACCTTGGGAGCTCTGTCCATTAAGCATCCAACTCTTGATCTCAGCTTGATCTTGATCTCAGGGTCATGAGTTCAAGTCCCACGTAGGCTCCAATTTAAAAAAAAAAAAAGAATAGAGATAATAACAACTATTGGATTGAGTTATTTTACACAGTGAAGAAAAAGATGCAAATCATGTAGCACCTGATAGATACTCAATAAGTAGCTAATATTTTTTTTCTCAAAATATAACCTCAATTGTCATCTATTTTATTCTATGCACTTATAATTAGGTAACTGTGGTAAATCAACTAGAGTGCTCTCCTAGGGTGGGATTTTAAAGTCTTTTTATAATGGAATTCTGTCCTATTTTTCTTAGCTACTTTTCAGAACTATCCACAGTAGTTTTGAGGCTATACAAGCATTTTACACATATCTTATTTTACTAAAATGTGTCACAAAAGGTCTTAAAATCCAAGCTTAGTTGATAACAAACATAATCAGAAAACAGATAAGAAAAAAATCTTGTTCAATAATGGGATAAAATGAATACAAAAATGCTAGTATCCTGACAGGTTAAAGTGTTCTGGTCACAAAGACACTGATGGGATTATGAGAAATTCCGTAGTACCAAAAAGCTAAAGCTTAGCAGTTAAGAGGTTCTTACAAGCATATTATTGCTCCTTTTTGCGAACTGCTTCTAGCATGAATTATGGACATTTCAGAGTCCTGTCAACAGTGTAAATTAAAAAGAAATTAAGATGTGTTTTTACAAATTACAAAAAGTGTGTAGCTGATGCTACCATAAAGAGAGGTCTCGGGTTAATAATCTCAGCACTTGCATTTTTGTATCTATTGTTGATGAAGGCAGGGATGAAGTTGATGTGTGCCTGCCTTTAACTATCAGTCTGTTCCTCAGCTTCCCATCTCAAAAATGGGGGGATGGACCCTTTCCTTTTTCTTTCTTCCAGAGATGATATAAGAATAAAGGGTTGCATAATGGGGCACCTGGGTGGCTCAGTTGGTTAAGCACCTGACTTTTGGTTTCAGGTCGTGATATCGAAGTCATGAGTTCGAGCTTCATGTCAGGCTCCACACTCAACATGGGTCTTCTTCAGATTCTCTCCCCCACCTCCCTCTGCTTCCTCCCCACTCTTGCTCTCTCTCTGTCTCTCTCTCTCTCTCTGTAAAATAAATCAATAAAATCTTAAAAAAAAAAAAGATAAAGGGCCACATGAATACTTTGTACACATAAAAAAATAAGCTATATAAATTCCAAGTCAATTATATTATATTATTAGGAGATTCCCAGGTGGGTCATATACAAAATAGATGACTATCCTGCCTTATCTTATATTTGATTTCTTGAGTTCAAAAAAGCAAAACAAAAGAAAATACCTTATTGTCATCACATTGTTATTCTTAACTTCGGCTTCTTATAGAGATTCCTTTCCCTAGAACCTCCCTCTCCCATATAGTAGCCGCTAGCCACATGGGGCTATTTAAATTTAAACTTTAATGAATTAAAATGAACTAAAACACAAAGCTCAGTTCCTCAGTCTTCTTAGCCACATTTCAACCACTCAACAGCCACACGTGACTAGTTTCTATCATGTTGGACAGAGAGGAAAAAAGTTCTATTGGAGAGCGCTGGCCCTGAGGACACTCAGGCTTGAACGATCCTGTTGCTCTGTAGTTTTAAGCTAGCCACTGAGAGCATTTCAAGGGTTGAATGACCTTAGAAGTTCATAGAGAACTTCATAATCATGTTGGTGTCAGACTAAGGGAAAGGCAGAAGTAAGCAAAGAGAAATTAAATAAGCAATAAAGAAGAAAGAAGGAATGATAGCCAGCAAAAGAATACACAGTGACATTATTATAAAAGGATAAAAAATGACTCAGGAATTCAGTGCTTCAACAGAGGTACAATTTTACTTAACACATTTGTCACATGTGGTTTGCACCAAACACATCAATCTTATGCTGACTTTCTGATGTCCTAATTGGGTTTGAGACATTCCAGCTAAATCACACAGGAACTATTTCTCGAAATTGTGATGAAGTTTAACCTCCCTTCTGAATACCACATGTTTAAAAACATTTTCCTCAAAGAGACATCAGCAGATTTTAATGTAGATACTTGCAACTTTTGTATTTATCTTTGTTTGGGCTGCTTGTACCCACAAGTTTTCATGTTTACCAATATTTTTGTTTCTACTTCCTGAATAAAAAAGAATTATAATTTAGCATATATTGTGTTATCTGTCCCAAAAAGTAAGAGACTAACCTGTGTGTGTTTGCATTTAGGTCATTCTGTCCATTGAAGAAGGTTATAGACTTCCGGCTCCCATGGGCTGTCCAGCATCTCTACACCAGCTGATGCTCCATTGTTGGCAGAAGGAGAGAAATCACAGACCGAAATTTACTGACATTGTCAGCTTCCTGGACAAACTGATCCGCAATCCCAGTGCCCTTCACACCCTGGTGGAGGATATCCTTGTGTAAGATGCATAGTGTTGATTTTCTTCCCCTTGACAGTCATTTCTTTCAGGCTATAGACAAGACTAACAGGTAGAGAGGAGAAAGTTTACCACGATAACTGTCTAGTTGTCGACCTTTTAGAATATTTTATACAAACCATATTTTCTTTACCAGCTGTGAAAAAAACATTTCTAAATGTTTTGTTTTGTTTGTTTTTTTTTGTTTGTTTGTTTGTTTTTTGTTTTTTTTTGTCTTAAGAAAACAGTGTCTCCTTTTGTTCTCTCCGGATCTAATTTTTCTGAGTTACTTTTGTTATATTTTTTTCTTTTGGGGGTCTTTGGCATTTGTGTATCCTTTCTTTCTTTATTGATCCTGCCTTATCTCTGTAAGTAGAATTTGTATCCACAGGTCCTTTAATTTTCTTGTCCATTCTATGTTCTGTCCCTCTGTTTGAAACAGCAAGCAAGACAGGGGCAATTTGTGAATCGGCAAGGAGTGAGGATGTTTCCTGCTGACGTGATCACACCCAGCTGTTGTTACTTTCCATTTCTAAAACCAGAGAAAGACAGATGACAAGACAAGAAAATGAAGGCACTCATATGCCATTTTATAAAAGTCAGTAGAGTTGAGAAGATCTACTCACCTCTCTCTAAAAAGCAATTATAAGAAGGGGAGAGTAGAAGGAAAGAAACACTTATCTATTTCTGAAAAGATTACATTTAAAATATTATCAAATTGAGAATATATGTATTTAGGCCAAATTGGACTTAGAAATAACAAAAGTGTTTCCAAAGCTCACTCTCCTAACTCAGGGGACGGCCAACGGAATATATAGATGTTCCAACTTGAGGTCATAGGTTCAAGTCAGTGCAGGCTTTTTGTGATAATAAGGCCAAAGGCTCTTCAAGGACTACTTAAGCAGGCCTCAGTTCACTGCAGAGCACATAAGAGTTCACCTCTAAATCACTAATTGGCAGCCTCAGTAAAGTGAAGCCAAGCATGAAATAGCTAGAGATTAAACTATTACTCTAGCCCATCTTCCCTAAAGCAGTCCAACAGAAGAAGCAGTAAAGGGCTGGGGTGGGGGCGGTGGTTGGGTTGGGGGAGTGACCTAGGATTTTATCATAAAAGGACACTTAGTGAAGGATTTTAAGCAAGAGAATAGCATGATCACATTTGCGTTTCTAAAAGATCACTCTAGAGCTGATTTAGACTAAGTGAAAAATAAGGAACAAGACTAGAAACAGAGACAGTTATGTGTTTGAAACCCAAGCCAGAAAAGATTAGGGTCTAATTCATGAAATGGGAGTAAGTTTGGGGTTGGGAGATAAGAGGATGGATTTGCTCTCAGGCAAGGAGAACAATGTGTCTTGGTCATTGATTGAATATAGGAGGTGGGGGAGATAAAAGAGTCAAGGATTCTATCAAGTTACCTTCTTAGACAAGCCAGCCAATAATATTACCACTAAGAGAGAGAAGGAAGATACGGTTTTGCAATAGAAATGAAACCATTTCAAGTAAACTGAATTGAAGATGCCTGTGGGGCAGGTAGGTGGAGTTGTCCAATAGGCAGTTATATTTGTAGGTTGAACCTCAGGGGGAAAGATCTGGGCTGAAGATTTGAAAATCATCAACATAGAGACTATAACTGAAGATTCATGCATAGTTGAAATGACCCATGGAGACTCTAAGGTATGAAAATTAACAGAGGGAAAGAAGGAGGGGTGTTTTCTGGAACACCAAGATTTAAGAAATGAGCTGAGGGAGAGTACCCAAAGGAGACCAAGAAAGAAGAAGTCATCTGTCTCAGTGCCAGACTGATAATAACTAAAGCTGGGAAAGGATAGTGACATAGAAGCAAAAAATGGGGAGAGTTCCAAGGAGTGTAATGTCCAAGACTTCACAAGAGCTTCAGCAAGATAAAAAGTGAAATGGGTCCTTTGAACTTAGCAGCAAAGTAGTCAGGTATCTATGGGCAGCCTTAGCAAGAGCATTTGAATAAAAGTGTGTAAGACAGCTGGCAATGGAGCAGGAGTAAATATGAGGTCAGAGAGAAAAGCAATATAAAGTACTAAGAAGCCTGTCTCTGAAGGGAAAGAGAAGTAGTTAAAGAAAATGTTTCTTCATTTTGTTTTTGTTTTCCTGAAGAGATGGGCATGCATTGACATTGAAATGAAAGAGCTAATGCAGTGAGTGTGTGTTAATGGTTTTCTATAAACTGAACTCATTTAATCCAGGCCTCTCATTGTGGTATAGGGTTAACGGACCCCACAGCCAGTGCCCATCAACAGAGCTCTCTAACTGTTCTATGGCAGTAGAAGCAGGCAGGTAAGAGCCTTTTTTTTTTTTTTTTTTTAAGAAAAGCAGGTACAACAATTTCTTCCCTGCTTTTTCGAGACTATGAATGTTTATCATAGCTGGAAAACCCTGATGAGGACTGAGATGAGAAAATGCCAAAAAGTCAAAATGATCCAGAGGTACAGTATGAGGACTTGTGTCATGGGGCCAGAAGTGAAGGGTTTAAAGGGTTTAACGGGATGAGCAGCCATCCTGTGGACAGGCCAGCAGATGGCAAGTCGGTGATGGTACTGCCACACGTGGGCGAGAGTTGGGTACTTTACATAAAGTTGGCAGTTTGATTTGATTCTGAAGTCTGATATCCGGGAAACCAAATGGAAGTTTCTGTGACTGATTTGCTATCCTTGTTTCTGACAAAGATCTATGTGCTTGTGTTTTCTGCCTTTAAAACACTTTTCTTGGAGAAACAAAGAAAAACAGAGTTCTACAGGTACGCGTGCCTGAACTGTTATCACCACTCTTATTTTCACAGCAGCCTGAGCAGGTTACCCCTGTCAACCCCTTCACCTCCGATGCTATCCACCCACCCTGTCCCTGATTCCAGAGAACTGAGACTGTTTAAAGGAAAAAGATAGGGCACCTGGGTAGCTCAGTTGGTTAAGCAACTACTTTTGGCTCAGATCATGATCCTGGAGTTCTGGGGTCAAGTCCTGCATCAGGCTCCCTGCTTGGCAGGGAGTCTGCTTCCTCCTCTGACCCTCTCTCTTTTCATGCTTTCTCTCTCTCTCTTTCTGTTTCTCTCTCTCTCTCTCTCTCTCTCTCTCTCTCATTCTCTCTCTCAAATAAATAAACAAAATCTTTTAAAAAAATAAAGGGAAGATACATGGTATGAAGGATAGCAATTTAGCTAAAGGATTTGTGGTTTGTTTTATGCTTATAAAACTGTGGCACTGTCCATCCCCCAACTCCCAAAGCCCAGTCATCTGTCTCAGTGCCATGCTGGATTAAAGGAACATGACAGGGAGTATAATTTCAATCTCTCCGCCCATTTATCTCTCAAGCAGGTAAAGGAGTTTAAGTGTGTAATCCACAGCAACTCTGATTAAACTCACCTGTACTCTTATTAGACTCTGGAGTCTCCCCAGCTTCCCGGGATTCCCTCACACTTCTGTACTGACATAACTCTCTCATCCACTAGGTCCCCATGGTTTTTATTCCACTCTAATTGCTTTTTTCTCAACAATTCACCTGAGAATCTTTTATCCTTTCTCTTGACAGAATAGTAAGAAGAGAAGGAATTAAGGCAACAAAGGGGGAATGAGGAAAGCTGTGAAACCCACAGCTCAATAATTTTATACTAGCATGTTGGAAATTTTATAAATCTTGTATCTGCAATTTCTCCTCTCAAAAGACAGAACACCCAATAGGAAAAAAAAAAAAAAAAAAACTGTTGGTCAGGGAAAGCTTTCATTGGAGCAGCTGTTCTGAATAATGCTGATGTTCTTGGGCCTGGCGCATTCCCGTGGGAATATTCAGAGCTCTGTTCAGTTCTTCTCTCTTACTCAAGGAATTATGTGGATGTATAAGGGAACATAGCAATATTATAAGTATCATTTTAAATCTAATTGATTTAAAAAATAATTTGCAGGGGCGCCTGGGTGGCTCAGTTGGTTGAGTGACTGCCTTCGGCTCAGGTCATGATCACCGACTTCCAGGATCGAGTCCAGCATCCGGCTCCCAGCTCCTTGGGGAGTCTGCTTCTCCCTCTGACCTTCTCCTCTCTCATGCTCTCTCTCACTCATTCTCTCTCAAATAAATAAAATCTTTAAAAAAATAATTTGCAGAAGTACCTTGTTAATATAGGTAGTCATCCTTTCATAAATGTGAATTTTGAACTACCTTCACTTTTATTCATTCAACAATGTTGCCTTATAACCTCCTTTTTAAAGTATTTGCAACTATCACATGGTGTACAGCCCCTTGGCGAAAAGGCCCACTTTGAAGCCAAGTCTATGTGGAGAATGACATCAGGAGCAGGGCCTGGCCATGACCTTCAAAACACCGCTCACTCCCTTTCCTCTGGCCCTCATGATAAATGCTATAGCTACTCTCAGTCCCAAGTCAAGCATATCCCCCTGGTTCCCAGGGTCACATCTGAGGTCCAGTGGTTTAATAGTGTAAAGTAGATTAATGACTATATGAGTGTTCCTTTGCCCGGCCTGACCTTCCACACCCCACCCACGTTATTCTACACATTTATTCTCCAACCTCTTCAACTCTCACTCCTGATTCCTCCACACACTGAAGCACTAGGTTGAAGTCAGCTGGCCAGTGCCTTTTTGACCAGTGTGACCATGTAATGGGAAAATAATACTTTTCTCTAGTCTCTGCTGTAGATCCCCAGCACTGACAAAAACTTTTTTACAGATTATGGGCTCTTTGATGATATCAGCTTAAAAAGGGGCATCCAGGGATGGGCAGCAGTTGACCAGAAGGACAGTCCATGGTAGTCACCTGCTTCAGAAATCATACTTTGCCCAGGCCAAGACACTTAAGAATAGTCTCACGACCCGGGGAGCCACAGTTAAGGATCTTAAAACATTTTAGCTTTTAGGAACTGGAACCACCACTTTCCTTAGTACACATAAATCTATTGTTGAACTTCCAGCTACTTGGTTACCAGTAATGTGTGAATCATGAAGATAGGGAAAAGTTCAAACCAGTATCATAATTAAGAACCTCTCTGCTTTAGAAAACCACAAGTAAACGTTTTAAGACTAAATGGTACTACCTCCTCCATCCAATTCATAAAGCACCTCTAATGCTGTCTTCTGAGGACAGGAACTTTCAACAATTGGATATGAATTTTTCCACTGATTTTGAGAAGATCTTGCTCAATGCTGTCTAGGCTACACATAATCAGCACTTGCCTGGTTGTTTATACCAGGTCATAGACGACTTGTTCTAATTTCTATAACTAGAAGTTTTAATGATATTTCCCATGAGAGAGAAATGAATGGCTAGCCAAAATCGGTGTTGTAATTGATTGATTATCAAAACTCTGTGGAAGGAAGACAGAATATTAAATATTAATCAGGAAATAAGAAACCTCTACCTGTTAGATAATCTATACTTAATTCAAAAGAGCTCTCGGCACAAGCTAAAGATAATACTGATGTTAATACCAATACTAATACTGATAAAAATTCCAATATATATCATCAATAATAACTTTTATTGCCATTTGTTGAAAGCCTACTGTGTTTCAGTTATTGTACTAGGTACTTTTATCTATAAGGTCATTTAATCCTCCCTATTATTATCCCCATCCTTCAGATTAGGAAAGAGAAACTCAAAGAGTAAAGCAAGTAATTAGTGGATCAGACATTTTAACAAGGTCCACCAATTGCAAAGTCCTTGTTATTTCCACCACACAGTGTACAATCATGCAAAACGGCAAGGTTCTTCCCATTACGGCACTGTTTCAGAAATATGATTATAGGAAAAGTACATTTTTTTTTATATTTCCACATAGATTTTCTCTGGACTAATCAGACTTCCTGGATGGGGTATATTAAAATCCCAAAAAGAATTTGCAGTGGAGCACAGCCTGTTATTTTATGTTCTACTAAGCAAATCCAAGGAGATAGAGTATATGCCCTCATTCATGGGAATAAGTAGCAAACACATAGTCAATATATCCCCTTAACATCCTCCTACAATGTTCAGCCACTTGAACATTACTTGGCGAGGGGGGAGTAGTAACTACAACAAAATAGAGAAATGAGGAAAATATGGCAGCGACACAGTTCCAGAATTACATCCTCGGGCATTTTATAGATTGAATTTTTCCAGTGCTGGCAAATATATGCTTTCCTTCTTTTTCCTTATTATGGCAGACATTACTAATCATCACAACACCCTTTCCCACTGAGCCCAGATGCTGCCATAGCATCCTTTTTAAGACCATATTTTGAGAACCACTGCCAATGAATTGTAGTTAGCATGTGATAAGAATCCATTTCTCTTCCTATATTATTTTCACACAAAAATAGGCTTTCCTTGAGGTTCAGTGATCTGTCACCCTTGCCTATAGGGACAATGAGCGAGGTACTCAGAATTATGGGAGACTTTTAAGCAATAATATTCCTACTCTGTGTCTATTCCTGTGTTCAAACACATCTAAAATTTTAAAATTGTCATTTCTTCTTACTTTCTGCTAGTTATCATCCTTATTATGGGAATTAAATAATCATATCAATTTAAAACACTTGAAGACTTACTGAAAATAAAAGGCTGATGAAAAATAATTCATTCTCCCTATTTAACATTGTGGAGAGTCAGATGGTTTGGAACCATGAGATACTGCCCACAAGCTTAAAACAGTCACAAAATATAGGCATGATTCTATGCATTTTAGATTTTATAGTATTTTGAGTAAAATTATACCTTAAAATTTTTAAAAGATTATCAAAATTCTTTTATTAATTTAAGTCATGTTCAAGATTATGTTCAAGTTTGCTATCCCACCTAACTGTAGAGAGAACAAGGTTTTCTTTTTCATCTGATAAAATAAATTCTTCCTTCAAAGTTTAGGTAGATAATTTGTATATTATGTATGGATTAACTAAATAGTGTGAAGTGTAATCCCTGAGTTATGAGATCAGAAATGCAAGTGAAAGTGGTGATATTGAATAAGTTGAACACTGTTACTATTGTTCTAGATCCCTTCACCCTGGGCTACCTCACCCCACCTATAGCTGCCTCTCTCTCCACTCTGAAACCCACACAGGCAGGGATAAGCAAGCACCATCAATATGTACTTACTCTTCAATTTAAGGGAACTAAGTCAAAATGGATCATTCATCATGAGTCAGCCATTATGTCATGGACTGAACTTTTCTATACAGAATACTCAAGTCTAAATCATCACTTATTTAAAATTTCTATAAAACTTTCAGCATTGTGCTAAGACCTACAGAAAATAGAAATATATGTTAAATATGGTCCCTGCCATCAGGGAATTTTAACTTAACCTTTTAAAAAAATTCTTCTGTCTTATAGATTTTTCCAAAAGAAGTAATTTAACTGAAACAAAAAGATACATGCTATAAGATTGAGTAGTCATCTGTAATAAAAGAATATTGCTAGCCCCATAGGAGCCTAACTTCAGGGAATTAAATTATTAAGTATCAATATGTAGATCATTATATACTCATTTGATTAATATTTATGGATACTACTGAAACATGCAAATTATTAATAAATAACTGAAATAAAGGCAATGTAAAATAGAATGGACCTAATCTGTGCAGTTCTGCTAACCATGTATAACAGCTAGAGGGAAAAAGTTATGTTAGAGTCATAACAAGAGAAAAGCCTTTAAGCATGTGATGGTTTCATATTAAAACAAGATCTTACTAAGCAATAGTAATTCTCAAAGTATAACCTTTCTTGAATCATTTTTAATAAATCTATTATTATTATATTTGCATGATAAATATAAAACATGGAAAACTTTTGGAAATAAAAACCACCTTGCTTTTTACTGGCAGTTTCCATATCTAATGATTATCTATGTAAAAACTTTCTAAATTAAAAGAGTAGTACTGGGTCACCCAGGTGGTTCTGTCAGTGAAGCATTTGACTCTTGGTTTCAGCTCAGGTCATGATCTCAGGGTCCTGGGATCAAGCCCCACATGGAGCTCCGCACTCAGTGGAGAGTTTGCTGGAGATTTTCTCTCTCTCTCTCTCTGCCCCGCACCCCCTGCAGGCATCCTCTCTCTCTAAAATAAATAAATAAATCTTATAAAGAATAGTACTATTGTGAACTCAAAGGGCTCATTAGAATAAAAAATTATTGGCTCTATCAGTGCTATTATTTTTACATACTTAGATGGATTACAAGTATATATTTATTGAACCTTAAACTGTGTCATTACCTATTCTACCTATATTCCAGCCCTCTCTCTAATCTAAATTGACCATCATTTATACATTTAGAATTGCCTAACTTTACCCCTTCCTCATTTTTCTGAGGGAAGTGGGAGACCCCTGACCTTCTGTTCTACAATATGTACTTTTTTTCAACATGAGCTGCAGATTTTGCTGTAAAGACATTTCTCAGGTGGGCAGCTCCCACTAATCACCAAAGAGCAGAAATTTCTATGTGCTCAGCAAATAGCAGACTGAATTTATCATTGTACATGGTTGATAAGAAAGGGCATTTATTGTTTATTAGGTAATATTCCAGAGAATTCATGTGAGGGTGATGGTACCCAGCCCTCAAAGCTGGAAAATAGCAGCATTTTTCAACTTCGTTGTAAGATAAGGTGAAAGAAGAGTTATTGCACAGTGGCTATGAACAATGAGGGGATCCTGACCTTACTAAATCACCTGCCAGTGCAGTGGTAGAAAGGCCAAAGAGTAACTAGGTTACTAAAGATGTGTGGAGAGAAAGGGAATTATGGTATTGAAACATTCTGGGAGCAAATAGTGCATGCTTTTCAACAGAGAAATAGACCACTTAAGTCATTTAGTATACAGAATGTCCTTCCATGACCTTTCTATACTAAGGACATAAAATTAGCAAATTACATTTCCTCTCACGGATTATATGAAATTGTGAACGCTCGAGAGTTATTCCAGAGTTATCTCAGGAGAGGGAAGTAGAAGTCACCTGACACTGTCTGTGCATCAAGTCTGGCATGGGAATATGAAGGGAAAGTCACTTAAATACATTCTTGTAATTTTGTTCAGTCAACAAACTTCTTTGACAAGTAATTAAAAGATATGGGAGCCACCTTGTTTTAAAATAGGACATTCAGTTTCCTAGCATGTGTGGCTTTATGTTAGTAAGCAAAAGGGTACCCTGATCATTTTGATATTTAAACTTAGTAAATTTACTATAGCAGCATTTCTTAAACTATGTTTTATAGAAACTAGTCAGATAATTTAGGAAAATAATGCAGATGCCATTGCTAATCTTCTTGTATGTTCACATTGTACATTAGAACAGTGAAGACTTGGAGAAATGCTCTAATTAGAAATCCTATTTAACTCTGTTTGCAGTGGATACCTTTATTAGTTTTTATTTTATATGAATTTTGCTTGTTTTATAATACTTATTGATATGACATCTCTAGGAAGCAACTAATATGGCAATAATAAACTATTTATGATAGGTTTTCAATCTTTGGACATAACTAATCTTCATTAGGGTCAAATCATAAATCACTCCAATATTAATTTGAATGAATCGGCCCACAATCAAAATAGCATTGCAATTTATTGTATAAGGAAAAAAGCATGTAGCTTTTATCAGCCTCCCAAATTGGAAATATAGTAACAGAAATGAATACTAGTAAAAAGGATACAAGTCACTGTTAAGAATACCGGACTTGGGGTGCCTGGGTGGCTCAGACAGTTCAGAATTACCGGACTCAATATGGACCACTATGTAGTCACAAGATACATGCATTTAATTTATGCAAATTTGAATTATATATTAAAAGCAAAACCCCTATTTTTTCCTCATTATCTCTCTTCATCTTCATCCCCATCTTCAACTAGACCCCAGTTTGGGAAAAGGGAAGTCAACATAACAATCAAAGGAAAACCAAAGAATGAACTCGAGGTCTTTAGTGGGGACTCTGTCCTAAAAAATTCCAAGTGACCTCTTTCAGAGTCTTCAAGAGTTGTACAATGTACAGGGCCTGATGATTTAAGGGTAATTTAAAGGATTTTTATGGGTAATTTTGATTATTAGAGGTTTTTATGTTTTACCTTATGCACTAACCTTATAGCCTAACTCCCATTCTCATATATTTTTAACAAAACAATACCAGAGTTATACAACATGCATACTCCATTCTGTCTCACAATGGGGTTCTTCTTATTTCATGTGGTTCATATACTGTCGTTCATATTCTAGTGTTCATACACTATCAGTTTCTAGTTAAAGTGAAATAGTTCACATATGAATGGTAAATATGATTATAATAAAATATTCCAAATATGAATGTTAAAACTATGGATCTAGTTAAGTCCCCATGGATTCTTTCCTTCTTTAATTTTATAAAAAATTAAAAGCAAAGTAAATGAAATTTGGATTAACCTTCTAACTTTTAATGGGAATATTTTTCATTACTTATAAAATACTGATTTAACTCAAATACCATCACAAAAAAAGGTTACTGCTCTACTATTTAAACTCTAGACCTAATAACTTTTAACGATGTATATATTACCCTAGAAGACTAGTAAAATGCTTATAAAAGCACTCTTACTGCCAGGTATTTTGTAAAACCATATAAAATATTTTTAACAATTTTCATGTATTTCTAGAAAGAGAATAATATAGTTTATTGCCAGAATCAGTTAAATATATAATTCTTAGTTAATTTACTATAGTTTCTAAGGTTACTTCTATGCTTATTCTAGCTTTAGCTTATATAAAACTATTCTGTGTATATATGTATATATACACATATATAATGGATATATTTATGTATGAATACACACACATTTGCTAGCCTTTCCGAAATAATACCTTTATATTATTTTTATATTAAAAGTACAAAAATATGGGACTCCTGTTTGTAGCTCAGTTTGTTAAGTGTCCGATTCTTGATTTTGCCTTAGGTCATGATCTCAGGGTTGTGAGATTGAGTCCCATGTCATGCTCTGTGCTGGGTGTGGAGCCTGCTTAGGATTCTCTCTCCCCTTCTGTTTCCCCTCCCCTTCCTCTTCCCCGCCTCCCAGCCTCTCAAAAAAGAAAAAAAAAAAAAAAACAAAACTACAAAAATATCCCCAACTGCAATGCCCTTTGCATTAGATATTAGAAACAAAAATACAGATGTCTGTTTCACTTACGTTAAGATCCATTAATGCTGGATTCCCTTTTCTTGTTAACCCAAACTTGCATTGATTTTGCTTTGCTTTGTGCCATATTATATCTGTGCTTTGGGCTGTTTTACTCTAGGCTTGAATATATGTAAATCTTATTCATGCCACTGAGCTCTGTAATGGCAGAGATTATTTTTTAATAAATAATAAATTCTTGTTGAATGAGAATAAATAAATGGAGGCTTGATCAATGAATTCACTGTGAAAAGGAGAAAGGACTGTCATAGCAAATGTAAAAAAGGCAAAAGAGCAAGGATTTGGTGACAGGTTAGAAAGTGTAAGAGTAAACAGCCTATGGCTACTAACTCTCCTTTGGGGATGAGGACTGGGCTATTCCTCAGGTTTGAAAACACAATTTTATGCAAGAGGAAAAAGTAAATAGCAGTTCACAAGATGTGGGTTTTCTGAAGCTATCTCTAGTATAAAACCTAGTTAGTAGCAAAAAAGCAGAAAAAGACAAAGTGATAAGTGAAACTGACCAGATAAAAGTGGCTGATTTGAATATAATGGAAAATTAGAGATTATTTTTTAATGGAGTATGAAAACATTAGAGGCAAGGATATTGTAAAAGGAAAAAAAGGGACTTGGGTGTTTTTTGCTGTCTCTGACTTTTAAATGGTCTCCATGGTTTTTTGTTTGTTTGTTTGTTTTCTTGTAGAATGCCAGAATCCCCTGGTGAAGTTCCGGAATATCCTTTGTTTGTCACAGTTGGTGATTGGCTGGATTCTATAAAGATGGGGCAATATAAAAATAACTTCATGGCAGCAGGGTTTACGACTTTTGACCTAATTTCAAGAATGAGCATTGAGTAAGTGGTCCTGGGTTTATTATTATGCTCAGCAGTCCAATCAAGGTGTTACAAATTCAAATACCGGATCAAAACACCATGATTCAACTACATTTCCTAATGCTAGTATGGCATTTCCACATCTTTCCTCACCATTTCTGATTATCATTCTAGTGGTAATTGGACATTACACTTTTAACTATTTTCCTTTGGAAGAATATGTTTAATTCAAATAGCAATTTTAAAAATTTGTAAATGCTTTCTGAAATGCATATTACTCTCATTCACATCCTAGACTACATCAGCACAGTTTACCTAGGCAAATTACTTATGACTCACATATACTAATCTTGCATAATCAATTCCTATTACCTTCATCAAATGTAGTAATTGCAGTAGTACATTATCATCATGTAATTTCAGAGCTCCTTATCTATATTATACAAGTTGGACATTTTTCCATTGTCTGAAAAATTATTCCTTGCCTGGGTGCAGTAAAATGTTCTTATTCCTTGACTGGGTGCAGTAAAACATGTGCTTAAGAGGTAGATATTAAAACTAGTTGGTTGAATCATATGAAATTGCCATTAGTTTGAAACAGTAATGGCAACTTTATATAGTTCAACGTAATACAAGAACATTTTTTTCAGATTATTTAATGACCATAGGACTCAGATACAGTCCACATTATATCTTCTAACCTATATATTATTTTGCTAACACTGTTGAAAATTTTTATCATTATCTAAATTGTACAATTTAGACTAATACAATTTAGATCTAAATTGTACAATTTAGATAATGATAAAAATTTTCAACAGTGTTAACTGGGGCACCTGGGTGGCTTGGTTGGTTAAGCATCCAGCTCTTGATTTTGGCTCACGTCATGATCTCAGGGTCATGAGATCAAGCCCCATGGTAGGCTCCGCACTCAGCAGGGTGCCTGAGATTCTCTCCCTCTCCCTCTGCCCCTCCTCTCTATCTCTCTAAAATAAATACATACATCTTTTAAAAATTGTATTCCCTTTAGATCTATGGAATGTCTGAACATTACGCTGGTACCTGAATGTGAAATTTTCCTTTGTATCCTTAAATTTGAGGTAGACTTGATACGTTATCTGGCACCAGGGAGAAGAAAAATGTAACTGTTCACCTGTATCTCTGCTTAAACTCTCATTTTACCAGCTATATAATTTTTGTTAAATTCATAAGCAAATCTGACATGGAACACACTTACCATATGTAAATCTTCATTTCCTATTTCCTTGTACTTACCAGATCTAAATATTCATATTCTCTCTCCTCCCCTCCCACCCCCATCTCTACATCTTTTTCTCTCTCACAGTGATATTAGAAGAATTGGAGTCCTACTCATTGGACACCAGAGACGGATAGTCAGCAGTATACAGACCTTACGTTTACAAATGATGCATATACAGGAGAAAGGATTTCATGTATGAAAGTACTACAAGCACTTGTGTTTTGTGCCTCAGCATTTCTAAAATGAAAGATATCCTCTCTACTACCCTCTCTTTGATTCTCCAAACATCACTTCATAAACTACAGTCTCCTGTTCAGACTACGGGCACGCACCTTTTGTTTATGCTTCCAACCTAGATTTTAAAATTATGCCTCATAGCTCCTCTCTGAATAATCTGCAAATAAAACCCCGGCCCACCTCAGATTATCACTACACAATGGTAAATAACTCAGCATGGATGTGTAACTTTGTACAACAGTATTTGGAAAGTGTTCACGAACTTTACCCAAAGGAATTTGCCCAGGTGTGGCTTCCTTAATGATGTATTTAGAGTTTGATGGTAGATGAAAAAGAAATAGTTGACATTTCTTTCATGTTTTGTGATCAAGTAGCTTCCAAACTGACATGAATATTTTTAGATAATTATATTCAACTCTATGGATCATATTGTTATTTATTTGTATGTATATTTATTTGTATTATATTTATTTAACTATTGATGCCTGATGTTGTTAGAATTATTTGCAGAAATAACCAGTGATGTCATTTGGTGAATTCTTGTCAGGTGTGACTGCACTAAGGAGGAGATTATCAGAGAGGGAGAGGGAGAAACATACTGTGCTTTTCAATCTTCTAAGGCTGGGTTTGTTTATTTTTTTTTTAATTGACTTTATAGTGTCCTACATATTTCATAGTAAGTGGTAGTTTAGAGGCTTTTCCCTTCTAAGTTTTGCTAACTATAGTATATTTCTCTCCAACCTTATGAAGATCACCCCGAAAAGGTTAAGAGTGAGACCAGTTTTTGAAAGGATTTCATAGAGTGAAGCATGAAATAAAACCATGTCTATTCCCTTGGTTCACCTTCACAAGTTTGCAAAAGCAGTTATCAAAGCACTGAGAAAATTAGTTTTTTCAGTAGAATTGCTTTGAATAAAAGATCTAAGATTATCACCTTAGACTTAATGTAAAAAGAGTAATTAATTTAGTTTAAACACAGTTTTATGATAGCTATATGGTGGTCCCCAAAATAAACATATCTAGCTGACTGCCTACTATTGGTGCATTTTGCAAGTTTAAGAATTTTTATATTTTGTTCCTAAAGTATAAGTTACATGAATATGCTGAGCTGTTTTCCAAACCTTTCAAGAGACAAGTATGCCACTGCATGTTCCAAAGAGGATATGAACAGACCTAACATATGAGCATATATAAATTGTGTGTCAACCTAGACCCATAACACAATAACATAAAAATGTGAACACAGCTAGAGTATGTTGTCATAATTGTCTCAGAGGCTGCAAAAAAAAGGCAAATGTATTTTTCAGTGAAGTAAGCTGAGTCAGTTTATCAAAACAGTGCTGCTTTATGAGTGAGTTCAATTGTAAAATCAGCTGTTGACTGTGAAAATACAGAATGGCTCCTGTGCTGAGTTTGGAAGAGTAGGGAAGATGTGTTGAGAGAGAGAGATTTTAAAAATAGCAGGCTGTCTAAAGATGCTTATTTAATCGGTTTTTCGTTGATTTAAGATGTAAAGGTGCCCAACCCACTTTCTCCAGTTCCCACCTAAATCACCATTTTTGGTAATAGCAGCTGTCTTGCTATTAAAGGAGACGCACTTTCTTTTATTCTTTCAGGTTTGTTGATTGTCCCATTAGACTAGAGCCTTCCACATACATTCTTTTGCTGATTTATCTCCTGACTTTTGTCTACCACAGCTTAATTTTTTCTCATTTCAAAAAAAAAGAAAGTTGTATAGAGCTAGAAGGAAGAATCTTTAAAGTATTCCTTAAAGTATACTAAAAAAGAAAAAAGGTGAGAAATGCATCACTTTTTAAGTAAGTGTGTCCGAAATAGCTAGCAACGTTTTCTAGCCACCATGTGCATGGTCACGCATCACTCATACACTATCTGCAGTTTGCTTGATACATTTACACAAATCTGGTTACATGTAGAGGAAATATAAAATTTCCACATTTACCTATCTTCAAATATATATTAAATAAGAACAGATATAAAACAGATTAAATTTATTAATCATATATATTTATTTTTATAATACAACAAAAAAGTATTTAGAAAAATAAGGAATAGAATAATTATGGTCTTCCATAGGACTCTGTCAGCGACATCTGTATACTTTGTTGAAATAAATTCTATAAAGTATTTAAACTTCTATGAGATGGGCATTCACTACTTGCAAGATTAAAGTTCACAGTTAAGAATTTTTTTCTTAAGAAATACAGAGATCTTTTTCTATATCTGATTAATTTATATTTTTTTTCTTCCCTAATACCTTTCTACAGTATTATAAAACTCCCTTTCCCCTTCGTCCCTTACCCCAAATGCTTTTTAAAATTTCTTTATAATTACATTTATATTTTTCAGAACTGTAAACATGATAATCTTACGTGTAATTTTGAACCTCCTCATGGTCAGAGATGTTGTGTGCGCACATGGTTGAAATATTTGTGCACGATTAAGCAGAAACATTAAAAAAAACAAAGGTATCTATTTCTTAATTGCCTACCATCCACAGACCCCTGATCCCAAGGATATTATAAGATCCAGGAATACTAACAGTTAAATTGCCAAATTTATTTGGAAATTTTACGTGAAATATTTTGAGACTTACTAGTGCACATATTTAGTAATTAACACTGTTTAAAATGCTTAAGTATAGACCTTAATTCTAGGAAGAAAATTAGTAACTTACATAAATCACAGCCTTCAGTAATGATTTTTGATAACTTCAATATGCATATACATTCATGTGCCTACTTTATTTTAAATTTTCTAATCTATACTACTGAGGAGCTTTTTGGATTTTGTAAATCAAACAGTTGAAGAAACCATTTTCATTTTATTTCCTGGGTGGTCATTTTCCAGTCTATAATCAACTCATTATTCCATAGTATAAGGCATATTTGGGAAAAATATGTAAAAACAATGCACAATCAAGAAGAGAGATTAGGTATGTAAATCATTAAAAAAGCAATCAGAAATTGCAAAGCTCTTGGCTTAACAAGAATTAAAAAAATTACAGCACTTTTGCACTGAGTTATCTTATAGCTGTTGATAAAAAGTTATGCATGCCATAATAAAAAAAAAGATTTGTATACCTGAATACTCTGCATTACACTTTAAAATCTATCCAGCTATCACCTGAATTAAACAGCCTTCTAACTACAGTTCTAAGACCTATCTTAGTCCTCAAAGGGAAAACAAATCCAAATTCAATTCTTGAAAAGCAAAGTCTTTACAAAAGTTCTTCTGAAGAGGTGGTGAAGAATTAATCTTAACCATACTGCTTAAAAAATCAGTTTTTTATATCTTTTCCCTACTGAATTTCTACTTTATAAATCATTCAGTTAGCTCTCTTATTCCAAATTTTTCACCAACATTAGGTTTAGTTTTTCTGTTCCTTCATTAAATTTTCTAAAACTTCCTTCCTCACCCTCTCTGTTTTTCTCTCTTTATTCCTCCAGCCCATCTCGTTTCCCTTCTCAGCTTCTATCATTCTACCCTGATCCCTACTGACAAAAGAGCATAGAAAATCTAAAAAAAATCTTACCACTCTCCTTTAGAAGAGGCCGAAGACGGAGGGAAGAAGGGAATGTTGCAGAACTCATACATTAGTATTTTGGGCCCCACCACATAAATGGGAGAATTGGCACTCACAGAAAAGGAATGAACTCCGGCTTTTTATTAACTGGGAATTAAGTGCTTTGGAAAGTAATTTCAAAATGGATAATGAAGATCCTTTTCTATAGCTTTAGGTAAGGAAATTTATTATTAATTTTTAAAAATTTGTATTTTAAGAATCAAAAACTATTATCAGTTTATAGTTGGTGTACATGTACATATAACAGAGACTAGAAGGAAATATATCACTTCTTTTAATATCATCAGCTTAGCTTTTCCAAGCTTAAAGATTCCATTTAGTAGAAAAGACTCATATCACTTCATGTTCAATCCAAAAATATTCTGATGCTTTTTATATGAAGACTCCAAAAGGTAGAGGAATACACTGATCAAATTGATATTAGTCTCTTATTTGGACACCGAGCACTGAATCACCTAACTTTTGGTTTTTATGATTAACATTTCAGCAACTTTCAACCTTTATAATGGTCAGTAAAGACAGTATAAACTTTATTTAGTTCAATTTAAAAAATACCTGTGAAGTGTCTCCTACACACATAAGATTTTTATGGCAAAGATGAGTTCAGCTATACTGTCCTTACCTTCAAAATAATTCTTAAGCTTAAAACTTAGAGATTGGAGCCTATTTGCTATGTTTCCTGTGATTGCCAAGTCACTAATGGCCAGCTCTTTCCATAGAATAAAAAGACATTAAATAAATTAATAAGGTATTGTCCAGTGTGAACTGGGTTTGCAATCTTTATGGGAAGAAATTTATTTTGCACCTCAAATTCTTATAGAACACCCCCACTTCCTCTAGCAGAGAGGAGCATACTTGGAGAATTCTCTTAAGACAATCTCTCTTTAGGAGTCAGATTTTTCTTTTCCAGGGGCAAACTTTTCAGTTCGTGCATAGATTCACTACCTCAAATTTGCCTCCAGTTAGGAAACATTAGCCTTTTTTCAAAACAACTCTGGAAGCATTTCTTGCCCAGGTCAATTCACTGGTGTTAGTAAACTTAATAGTAATTATGAACCTGCAATAGTTGCATAAAATTCTTTCAAACATGATACATATAACAAGAGAAAGAGATGATTACTCATGCCTAGATCTAACATATTACTAGATGAAATAAAGGAAAGGAAAAATCTTAAGTTGCAGAGGCATAAATAAGCCCACTTCCTCTTATTGTTTCCTTAAAAAACAAAATATTAGTCAGGTATTTCAAAGATTTCACAGGATAAAAATGAATCTTGTATGTTATATGGGATGTAACACTTCCAGGATAAAAAGGTCAACAGAACTGAAGATACAGGTCATCAAAATATAACTCTAATCCTCTTTCTTCTGATAATTAGCTTTGAATTTCAAGTTAATGATGGATTTATATAAATGTATAAAAAAAGGATGTTTACATCTTAATTGAAAAATTTGGGGGGCACCTGGGTGGCTCAGTAGGTCAAGTGTCTGACTCTTGATCTCAGCTCAAGTCGTGATCTCAGGGTTGTGAGTTCAAATCCCATGTTGGGCTCCATGTTAGGCATGGAGCCTACTTTAAAAAAAAAAAAATCTTGGGTTCTTTGCTTTTAATTCAAAAAAAAAAAATTGGTTGGTTGGCATTTGCTTTTTTAGGATTTTAGAATATATTTTAAAGTCTACCTTTGAATCAATGTTGATTCAAAATTACTGAATTTTAAAAATGAAACAAAAATAATATGAAGAAAATTTTTCATTTACTAAGGGTAGCAAAACACTACCAAAAGAATATGAAGTTCATCTTTCAAAAAA